CCAGGTTGAGAAATGCAGCCTGAAGGCCATCCAGTCCAACTCCCCTCATCAGGGCAAGAAAACATAATCAAAGCCCTCCTGATAAAGAGCCATCCAGCCATAGATATAGATCATAGAATCATAGAATCAAAGAGTTGGAAGAGACCTCCTGGGCCATCCAGTCCAACCCCATTCTGCCAAGAAGCAGGAATATTGCATTCAAAGCGCCCCTGACAGATGGCCATCCAGCCTCTGTTTAAAAGCTTCCAAAGAAGGAGCCTCCACCACACTCCAGGGCAGAGAGTTCCACTGCTGAACGGCTCTCACAGTCAGGAAGTTCTTCCTCATGTTCAGATGGAATCTCCTTTCTTGTAGTTTGAAGCCATTGTTCCGCGTCCTAGTCTCCAGGGAAGCAGAAAACAAGTTTGCTCCCTCCTCTCTGTGGCTTCCTCTCACATATTTATACATGGATAGATATATATGATTTACACACACACACACACACACACACATCATAGATTTGAAAGGGACCCCTAAAGGAAGACAATAATATGTTCCATGTTCCAGAGCAGGCAAACCAGACAATCTCCACATCAACACTGACAAAGAAAGAACAAGAAGTGCTGTCGAAGGCTTTCATGGCCGGAATCACTGGGTTGTTGTAGGTTTTTTCGTGCTATATGGCCATGGTCTAGAGGCATTCTCTCCTGACGTTTCGCCTGCATCTATGGCAAGCATCCTCAGAGGTAGTGAGGTCTGTTGGAACTAGGAAAATTGGGTTTATATCTCTGAGGAATGATCAGGATGAGACAAAGGACTCTTGTCTGCTGGAGCTAGGTGGGAATGTTTCAACTGACCACCTTGATTAGCATATAATGGCCTGACAGTGCCTGGAGCAAACTTTTGTTGAGAGGTGATTATTTGTCCTTGTTTGTTTTCTCTCTGTTGTTGTATTGTTGTAATTTTAGAGTTTCTTAAATATTGGTAGCCAGATTTTGTTCATTTTCATGGTTTCCTCTTTTTGTTTAAATTGTCCACATGCTTGTGGATTTCAATGGCTTCTCTGTGTAGTCTGACATGGTGGTTGTGAGAGTGGTCCAGCATTTCTGTGTTCTCAAATAAAATGCTGTGTCCAGGTTGGTTCATCAGATGCTAATCAAGGTGGTCAGTTGAAACAGTCACACCTAGCTCCAGCAGACAAGAGTCCTTTGCCCCACCCTGGTCATTCCACAGATATATAAACCCAATTTTCCTAGTTCCAACAGACCTCACTACCTCTGAGGATGCTTGCCATAGATGCAGGCGAAACGTCAGGAGAGAATGCCTCTAGAACATGGCCGTATAGCCCGAAAAAACCTACAACAACCCAACAAGAAGTGCTATTTACCCACAAGCATAAAGACATTACATATATTAGAAACCAACACTTTCTCATTACTTTAGTTTTGAGATCACCAGACTGGGCCACAGCAACATGTGGCAGGGGACGGCTAGACACTCAATAAAACCTTTATTTTTAAAACAAACTCCTATTAATTAAGTAATTCGTTACAGCCTCTCTCTTCCCTTTAGGAGCCCCAGTCTTTCCCAAGGAGCCACATCCTCTGATCATGTTTTTGTCAGTATATGTTGAAGTATGTAGTGCGTTTTAAATGTAATTTCATGCAGTAGTAATATGGATGCCACAAGATTGTATTGCTGTGATGTATGTTTATGTTAGAGGCTGTGAGAAAGTAGCCCTGAGATACTCTCTGTCTGGAGTTGTGAGAAAATTAGGGAGTATCTGGTATCTGCCAAGCAGCTGCACAATTGTTTACACTTCGACTTCCTTTGTCCTGCGTACTGTGTACTTCTTGTCTGGTCGCTTACTGTAATGGATGTGTTTTGGAACTGCTCTAAGTAGATTGAACCTGCTTTGTAACCAGACGTCTCCAGAGTCCATGTTTTTCTACTAAGCCTGTGCAAAACTTCCTCTAACGCTAACAGTTTTGCCCAAACAGAATAACGGTGGAGCTTCAACTCCATGATAAACTATAGCTACTGTAGATATTGAGATAGGCCTCCAGGCCAACCTTCCCTTCACAACCCACTCAGGTCTTGCAAAGCAAACAGAAAGGTGTCTCTTGAGGGCATTAATGTTGGGAAAACTCAATTCCTTCTTTTCAGGGTCCTGTGGCTTGTGGAGAAGGGCCTGAGTCTGCCGAGGAAGCATGGATCAGGACCAGCTGTCCATGGAGGTCCTGCAGGAGAAATGGGGCCAGGAGGCCTCTCCAGGTCAGGACTCTTTCAATCCACTATTTCCTTTGAGTTTCCCTTTTGCTTCGTTGTATTTCCAGAGACTTGAAGGATTCCAGTAGCTATTTATATTTTAAATAAAAAATAATTATATTTATAGTTGTATTTAACTTTGTAGCCTTGACAAATATTTCATGGGGTCTGAGGATAATGGGAGACATCAGCTTCGAACTTTCTTTTGGCTTTCAGGGGGAGGTGGTTTCATCTTTCTATTGTTGTTATTGTTGAGACTCCTCAAGGCCAACAAAATGCTTTCGTGCATTTCTGTCCTTAATTAGGGAAAGACTAGCTCTCAGGTCTCAGATCAAGTAACATAGCAAATAGAGCAAGAAGCTCCTGCCTTGTTCCTGGTCCTATCTTAGCTTCAAGCCAAACTGCCTAGTCAAGTTTTGCTATCAGTCTTGGGGATTTTACCATGGATTTAAGCTCATGTTTTGTTCTTTGTTTCTTGGACTACTCAAGCTCATGTTTCTAGGGTTAAAGTGGAGAATCCACTCCATAATTAGCCCAAAGCGGCCACCAATCAATGACTGCTAGTGTTTTCTCTCATCCACACCCACCATCATCTCTTGTTCCCTCATCCTTCCTTCAGATTATGACCAGAAGGTGGGTCCTTCTTGGGGTCCACGTGGGATTCCCTTGGGATCCTCTTGGTGGAGAGCAAAGGATGGAGGAGGAGAAGGAGGAGACGGAGACCTGGAGAGGCAGCCGAGGAGGGACAGGACCCACCTGGATCAGGACGAAGGCGCCTCTCCAATCCCAAATCAGAAGGAAGGGACCAGGACTGCATGCGCCTTTTGTGGGAAGACCTTGGACTCCGGATCCAGCCTTGCGCCAGAAGAAGGGGAGGGACCCTATTGCTGTGCCGCCTGCGGAAAGAGCAGCCCCTCTGAGGCAGGTCTTTCAGTTTAGTCTGGTAGTAGGTTGCAGGAGCTAGTGGATGGCTTCATAGTCTTCGCTATATGCATGTATGTATGAAGCTAGTACAGTGTTTCTCAACCTTCTGAATGCCACGACCCCTTAATGAAGGTTCCTCATGTTGTGGTGACCCCCAACCATACAAAATTATTGAACCAAACTTGACACACAGAAATCCCATGACCAAGAGAAAATACTGGAGGGGTTTGGTGGGCATTGGCCTTGAGTTTTGGAGTTGTAGTTCACCAACATCCAGAGAACATTGTGGACTCAAACAATGATGGATATTGGCCAAAATTAGCACAAATACTCAATATGTACAAATGTGAACACTGGTGGAGTTTGAGGAAAATAGACTTGACATTTGGGAGTTGTAGTTGCTGGGATTTATGGTTCACCTACAATCAAAGAACATTCTGAACTCCACCAATGATGGAACTGAACCAAACTTGGCACACAGAACTCTATGATCAACAGAAAATACTGAAGGGGTTTGATGGGCATTGACCTTGAGTTTTGGAGTTGTAGTTCACCTATCTCCTGAGGGTACTGTGGCTCAAACCTACAATCAAAGAGCATTATGAATGCCATCAATGATGGAATTGAACCAAACTTGGCACACAGAAATCCCATGACTAAGAGAAAATACTGGAGGGGTTTGGTGAGTATTGACCTTTAGTTTTGGAGATGTAGTTCACCAACATCCAGAGAGTACTATGGACTCAAACAATGATAGATCTGAACCAAACTTGGCACAAAACCTCAATATGTCCAAATGTGAACACTGGTGGAGTTTGGGAGAGATAGACCTTGACATTTGGGAGTTGCAGATGCTGGGATTTATGTTTCACCTACAATCAAAGAGCATTCTGAACCCCACCAACGATATAATTGGGCAAACTTCCCACACAAAACCCCCATGACCAACAGAAAATACTGTGTTTTCTCCTGGTCTTTGGTGACCTCTTTGACACCCCCTTGCGACCTAGAGGGGTCTTGACCTCCAGGTTGAGAAACGCTGACCTAGTGGGTGGCTGCATAGCTATCCAGTGCATTGTGGAAGCTAGTGGATGGTTGCATATTCTTAGCTATATGCATGGAAGAAAGCCTGAAGGCTACTGTTGAGACAATGGTGGTTGTCATTTTGGGGTCGCAAATATGTATGTAGCGCTCAGATCTAACCACAAGGAGGCAGTATGTAGATAGAAAGGATTATCTACTGGACAATGGGTATGTATGTATGAAGGCCTGAAGGCTACTATTGAGACATCCACGCATTAAAGAAATATGCCCTGAAGGTCATGGCTAGTACTAATAGAGCATGACATACAATTTAAAAACTAACAATGAGTATTTTTAATAAATAGCATTAAAATGCATACCAGTGCAATGACAGGATAGCCTTTAAAAGCTTATATAAGATGTATAGAATAATAGAATAGTAGTGTTGGAAGAGACCATATGGACCATCTAGTCCAACCCCCTTCCATGCAGGAAAAGCACAATCAAAGTGCTTTTATAAACTTATATAAGATAAGATCATGTAAGAGTTTGTTTTTTTTCAAATAGTTACTCAAATTAGATTTCAAACTCTTTATCCACATTTTCTCCTATCATTCCAAATGGATTTGGGTAGCAGTATTTTGGGCCCATTTAACCATACAGTCTTTTGTTTGTTCTTTCTCCACTTCAAATGTTTACAATGTTTTGTGTATTTTTCAATCAGGAAATTCATACTGTGAAGAAACTGGAATGTGGACAGAGCATCACTGAGAGTAGAGGCCTACATTCACGTCCACGAACCCACCCTGGGGAGAAACCCTATAAATGCCTGGAGTGTGGGAAGAGCTTCACTCAGAGAACAGATCTTCAGAGACATCACAGAATCCACACTGGGGAGAAACCCTATAAATGCCAGGACTGTTCTAAGAGCTTCACTGAGAGTGGAAGTCTACGTTCACATCAAAGGACACACACAGGGGAGAAACCCTATAAATGCCAGGAGTGTGGGAAGAGTTTCACTCAGAGGGCACATTTACATTCACACCACAGAGTCCACACTGGGGAGAAACCCTATCAATGTGTAGAGTGTGGAAAGAGCTTCAGTCAGAGGGATAGTCTATTTTCACATCACCGAATTCACACTGGGGAGAAACCCTTTGAATGTTTGGAGTGTGGGAAATGTTTCGCTCATAGGACAAATCTACACTCACATCAAACTACTCACACTGGGGAGAAACCCTATAAATGCCAGGAGTGTGGGAAAAACTTCACTGATAGTGGAAATCTACGTTCACATCAAAGGACACACACAGGGGAGAAACCGTATACATGCCTGGAGTGTGGAAAGAGCTTTAGTAAAAGCACAAATCTACAGAGACATCACAGAAGAATTCACACTGGGGAGAAACCCTATGAATGCCAGGCATGTGGGAAGAGCTTCACTGACAGTGGTAGTCTACGTTTGCATCAAAGGACACACACAGGGGAGAAACCCTATAAATGCCAGGAGTGTGGGAAGAGCTTCACTGAGAGTGGAAGTCTATGTTCACATCAAAGAACACACACAGGGGAGAAACCCTATAAGTGTGTGGAGTGTGAGAAGAGCTTCAGTGATCGAGGACATCTACATTCACATCACAAAATTCACACGGGGGAGAAACCCTATAAATGCATGGAGTGTGGGAAGAGCTTTAGTAAGAGCACACATCTACATACACATCACAGAATTCACACTGGGGAGAAACCCTATAAATGTCAAGAGTGTGGAAAAAGTTTCACTTACAGTGGAAGTCTACGTTCACATGAAAGGATACACACAGGGGAGAAACCCTATAAATGTTTGGAGTGTGGGAAGAGCTTCACTGAGCGTGGACATCTACGTTCACATCACAGAATTCACACTGGGGAGAAACCCTATAAATGCCTGGAGTGTGAGAGGAGCTTTGCTAAGAGTGAAAGTTTACGTTCACATCAAAGGACACACACAGGGGAGAAACCCTATGAATGTCTGGAGTGTGGGATGAGCTTCACTGAGAAAAGGATTCTACATTCACATCAAAGGATACACACATGGGGAGAAACCCTATATATTCCTGGGGTGTGGGGAAAGCTTCACTTAGAGTGGAAGTCTATGTTCACATCAATGGAGACAAACAGGGAAGAAACTCTAGAAATGCCTAGAGTGTGGGAAAACTTCACTGAGAATGGAGGTCTAGGTTCACATCAACAGACACACATGGGAGAAACCCTATAAATGCCTGGAGGGTAGGAAGAACTTCACTGACAATGGATATCTATGTTCACATCAAAAAAAACTCACACAGGAGAAAAACCTATAAATGCCCAGAGTGTGGGAAAAGCTTTACACATGGAACCAGTCTGACTGACCATCTGAAGATCCACACTGGGGATAAACACATGTCTGCAGTGCAGGAACACCTTCTGTACAAGTTCTACCCTCAAAGTACATCAGAAGATTCACATGGGAGAGAACTACGCATGTCTTGAATGTAAAAGGGAGGGTTCACATGGATGAAAAGCTGTAATAGTGCTAGTAATGTCAAAGACACGAGTTCTGCCAAATCAACGGATGGAAGCTGTCAACAGGATTTTCTTAGTTCAGTCAGAGAAAGCCTTATAGACAACTGGAAGCAAAGGCTGTAATATGGCAAATTGGTTATTTGATTTTCTATCAGTGGACTTTATTGAGGAAGAGATTTGGTAACAAGATTTGGTAACAGGGTGAAAGGGAGAAACAGGACGAATGCATGCCCAGAGAATGGGAGATCAAGAATGATGGTAACAGCTGATAGAGATCTGCTAATCTGTTGAGATGGACAAATTAACTAGGCTGACAAAGGAGAAATATTTGTCCGACTACAAGCAATTGAGACTTTTTAAATTTACTAGTTGGGATAATAAGGGGGGCATTTGATTATTGTAGGTTTTAGGATTTAGTCAAAATATAAAAATAGAAGGGTAGTTTTATAGTATTATCTAAAGGGAATAGATTTAAGAGAGATAGAAACCAGTTTATAGTCCTGGTTTATTCTCCTTTTTGTGTAGTCATCTGTCCTTGTTTGTCTCATTTTTGTATTTACGTTTATTATCTGCTATAGGCCTTTAGTAGTAGGATCATAATATTTGGAGTTGTGTTACCAAAAGAGGCCTTTGCCTGGTAACTGGTTCTTTTTAAATTATCCCAAGCAAACCATTGTCTCAACTTTAGGAACACTAAAATAGGAGCTCAGAAGGGACTAGATCTGTGTTTTCATCACTCTTAGGTAAAATTTATTTAGTAATCATACATAACATTTCAAGACGCCTCATTCACACAAACCATTCATTTGATGCTCACATACACAGTCCCTCTTCTAAAGTTGACCAGGCCATAGAAAGATGTGATGGGTGAGCAGATGCACGTGTGTTCTTGCACATCTTTCAAAAGTCTCTTCATTTATACATCCAAGTTGTGCCTCTTTCCATGTAGTTTCTCCGGTGTTCATTCACAATGTTCAGGCACTCAAGGTTAAACTGGTTTTAGTGGTACAGGACCAGCTGAGAATGATGATGAGGGGTTTGAAGGTGCAGGGCCTGATGCTTCTGGAGGTGCTCAGACAGATGGGATGTTGGAACAGGATGGTGATTCCCGAGTTGGGAGAACGGAGGAGTATTGGGTTGATTCTCTGTGTGAAAATGAAACTGTTTGAGAAGCTGACGGGCAGAGAAGGGAGGAAGGGGGAAGAATTTCAAGTGTAAGCCAAGCCATGGGAAAGGGCGGCCGAGGGAGATTCCTCAAGGCCAAGGAAATGCTTTCATGCATTGCTGTCCTTAATTAGGGAAAGAATAGCTCTCTGGTCTCAGATCAAGTGACATAGCAAATAGAGCAAGAAGCTCCTGCCTTGTTCCTGGTCCTATCTTGGCCAAGCCAAAATCTTAGTCAAGTTTTGCTACCAGTCTTGGGGATTTTACCATTGACTCAAGCTCATGTTTTGTTCTTTGTTTCTTGGACTACTCAAGCTCATGTTTTATTCCTTGTCTCTTGGATTAATCAAGCTCATGTTTGTTCCATGCACCTTGGATTAATGTTCACGTTTTAACCTTTGCATTGGAGATTTGTCTCTGGTTTTTGGGACTCCTCCTGTCTTTACATATTTGGATTTTTTTACTCTTTTATTGTGTGTGTTTTATCAATAAACTGTTTATTACTACACTTCGCTTCCTGGTGAGTGCTTGAGTAAGCTGAACTCCAGCTGAGGTGCAACACCATGTAAGTTGGAAAAGAGATAATTAAAAATGTTATTTGGAAACCTATAACTTCTTTAGAAACACTAAAATTCCTAACTTCTTTAGGAATTTCATTGACCATAGACTCATGCTGGGTGACCTAGAAATGCCTAGAGAAGTAAACTCTGTCCTTCAGCACAGCTCTATTGGCAGATTTCTTAGTTATTTTTAAAATAAACTTTTACTCGAGAATATAAACAAAATAACGCACACAAACAATTCTCTCTCTCTCTCTCTCTCTATATATATATATATATATATATTGTGCTGTCACGCGCTGGGCCTATAACAATTGGCTTTGGAACAGGACATGCTCTTTTGCCCAGCGGGAAGCCGGGTGCCTCAAGTGAGAGGCCCTAAGGATTTTCCTCTAGAGAGTCTTTAGAAACTTAAAAGTTTAACAAAGTTCTTTATTATTGCTTAAGTCAACAAACAATCATAGAATCCTCCTGGGCCATCCAGTCCAACCCCCTGCCAAGAAGCAAGAATATTGCATTCAAATCACCCCCGACAGATGGCCATCCAGCCTCTGTTTAAAAGCTTCCAAAGAAGGAGCCTCCACCACACTCCGGGGCAGAGAGTTCCACTGCTGAACGGCTCTCACAGTCAGGAAGTTCTTCCTCATGTTCAGATGGAATCTCCTCTTGTAGTTTGAAGCCATTGTTCCGCGTCCTAGTCTCCAGGGAAGCAGAAAACAAGCTTGCTCCCTCCTCCCTGTGGCTTCCTCTCACATATTTATACATGGCTATCATATCTCCTCTCAGCCTTCCCTTCTTCAGGCTAAACATGCCCAGCTCCTTAAGCCACTCCTCATAGGGCTTGTTCTCCAGACCCTTGATCATTTTAGTCGCCCTCCTCTGGACACATTCCAGCTTGTCAATATCTCTCTTGAATTGTGGTGCCCAGAATTGGACACAATATTTATTTATTTATTTATTTCACTTACTTATACCCCGCCCTTCTCACCCCGGGGGGGACTCAGGGCGGCTTACAGGAGGAGGCACAATTAGATGCCCAAATCAATTGACAAACAATACAAAATACCAAAACAATCAACAGTTAAATTAAAACATCAATACATAATAAAATAATAAAACAATCTCATGTTCAGGGTTCAGAGTCCATATATCCATTCCATTCCATTTGTCCTTGTCTATTGTCAGATCCTTAAATTAGTTGTCAGAATGACCAAAGGCTTGGTCCCACACCCAGGTCTTCAGTTTTTTCCTAAACGCCAGAAGGGAAGTCGCCGATCTAATCTCCCCGGGGAGTGAGTTCCACAGGTGGGGGGCCACCACTGAGAAGGCCCTGCTCCTCGTCCCCGCCAACCTCACTTGTGATAGTGGCGGGGTCGAGAGCAGGGCCTCCCCAGAAGATCTTAAACTTCGAGGTGGGATGTAGAGGGAGATCCGTTCGGACAAATACACTGGGCCGGAACCATATAGGGTTTTGTAGGTCAAAACCAGCACTTTGAATTGTGCTCGGAATTGGATCGGCAGCCAGTGGAGCTGACGCAACAGGGGGGTGGTATGCTCCCTGTACGCCGCTCCGGTGAGCAATCTGGCTGCTTCTCGCTGGACTAGTTGGAGTTTCCGAGCAGTCTTCAAAGGCAACCCCACGTAGAGTGCGTTGCAGTAATCCAACCGGGATGTGACAAGAGCGTGGACCACCGTGGCCAGATCTGACTTCCCAAGGTACGGGCGCAGCTGGCGCACAAGTTTTAATTGTGAAAGCTCTCCCAGCCACCGCTGAGACCTGGGGTTCCAGGCTCAGCGATGAGTCCAGGATCACTCCCAAGCTGCGAACCTGCATCTTCAGGGGGAGTGTAACCCCGTCTAACACAGGCTGTAACCCTATACCCTGTTTGGCCTTACGACTGACCAGTAGGACCTCTGTCTTGTCTGGATTCAATTTCAATTTGTTAGCTCTCATCCAGTCCGATACAGCAGCTAAACACCGGTTCAAGGTCTGGATAGCCTCCTTGGTGACAGGTGAGAAGGAGTGACAGATTTGGATGTCATCTGCGTAGAGGTAACATCTTAGTCCGAACCTCCGAATGATCTCTCCCAGCGGCTTCATGTAGATGTTAAATAACATCGGGGACAGAATTGAACCCTGTGGGACTCCACGCAGCAACGGTTGCGGAGCCGAACAGGTGTCACCCAATAACACCTTCTGGGTCCGTCCCTCAAGGAAGGATCGGAGCCACCGCAGAGCAGTGCCTCCGAGCCCCATGTCCATGAGGTGCCCCAGAAGGATACCGTGATCAACGGTATCGAAGGCCGCTGAGAGGTCCAGCAGAACTAACAGGGACACACTCCCCCTGTCTAGCTCCCTGCGTAGATCATCTACCAAGGCGACCAAGGCTGTCTCAGTTCCATGTCCCGGCCTAAAGCCAGAAGATTCCAGGTGTGGTCTAACTAGAGAAGAATAGAGGGGTAGCATGACTTCCCTAGATCTAGACACTGTGCTCCTCTTCATGCAGGCCAAAATCCCATTGGCTTTTTTTGCCGCCACATCGCATTGTTGGCTCATGTTTAACTTGTTGTCCACGAGGACTCCAAGATCTTTTTCACACGTGCTGCTCTCGAGCCAGGCATTCTCCCCCATTCTGTCTCTTTGCATTTCGTTTCTCCTGCCAAAGTGGAGTATCTTGCATTTGTCAGTGTTGAACTTCATTTTGTTAGTTTTGGCCATTCATCTCTCTAATCTGTCAAGATCGTTTTGAATCCTGCTCTTGTCCTCTGGACTATTGGCTATCCCTCCCAATTTGGTGTCGTCTGCAGACTTGATTATCATGCCTTCTAACCCTTCATCTAAGTCATTAATAAAGATGTTGAACAGGACCGGGCCCAGGACGGAAACCTGCTGATGGCACTCCACTCGTCACTTCTTTCCAGGATGAAGAGGACGCATTGGTGAGCACCCTCTGGGTTTGTCCATTTAACCAATTCCAGACCCACCTCACCATAGTTTTGCCTCGCCCACATTGGACTAGTTTCCTTGCCAGGAGGTCATGGGGGACCTTGTCCAAGAAGGCCTTCCTGAAATCCAGGTACGCTCCATCCACATCATTCCCAGCATCTACCCAGCTTGTAGCTCTATCAAAAAAAGAGATCAGATGAGTCTGGCATGACTTGTTTTTGTCAGCTGCAGAGAGGGACTGTCGAGCAGGAGCCGGAAGTGTGGGCTGCTCTCTCTCTCTGTGGCCTCTTTGGAGCAGAAGGACAGCTTGTTTACTTTGTTTCCTTCCTCTTTTCCTTCCCAGGAGGAGAGACACGTTGCATTGAGTGGAGGTGAGTTACTCCTGGGGATCCCTTTCCTTCCTTTGCAATGCAACCCCAATGGCCCAGCCTGCATTCAGTCTGCCCTCCTGGAGGGGAAGGGGGGGGACAACCAGACTTATCATATTAGCATTATTATTGTTATTGCAGGAGGGCTGGCCATCTGTCAGGGGTGTTTTGATGGTGCTTTTCCTGACTGGCAGAAGGGGGTTGGGCCTTTTGCAAAGAGAGAGAGAGAGATCATAGAATCCTAGACTCATAGAGTTGGAAGGGACTCCAGTCCAACCCCCTTCTGCCAGGCAGGAAAAGCACCATCAAAACACCTCTGACAGATGGCCATCCAGCCTCTGCTTAAATGCTTCCAAGGAAGGAGCTTCCATTGGACTCTGAGGCAGAGAGTTCCACTGCTGAACGCCTCTTAATCATAGAATCATAGAATCAAAGAGTTGGAAGAGACCTCATGGGCCATCCAGTCCAACCCCCTGCCAAGAAGCAGGAATATTGCATTCAAATCACCCCTGACAAATGGCCACCCAGCCTCTGTTTAAAAGCTTCCAAAGAAGGAGCCTCCACCACACTCCGGGGCAGAGAGTTCCACTGCTGAACGGCTCTCACAGTCAGGAAGTTCTTCCTAATGTTCAGATGGAATCTCCTTTCTTGTAGTTTGAAGCCATTGTCCCATTGCGTCCTAGTCTCCAGGAAGCAGAAAACAAGCTTGCTCCCTCCTCCCTGTGGCTTCCTCTCACATATTTATACATGGCTATCATATCTCCTCTCAGCCTTCTCTTCTTCAGGCTAAACATGCCCAGCTCCTTAAGCCGCTCCTCATAGGGCTTGTTCTCCAGACCCTTATCATTTTAGTCGCCCTCCTCTGGACACATTCCAGCTTGTCAACTTCATTGGAATCTCCTTTCTTGCAATTTGAACCCATGGCTCCATTGAGTCCCAGTCTCCAGTGCAGCAGAAAGGAAGCCCACTCCCTCTTCCATATGACATGTTGAGACATGGCTTCTCTCATGCCTCCTCTCAAGCTTCTCTTCTGCAGGCTCAACAGACCCAGCTCCTGATAGGGATTCTTCAGACCTTGGATCCTTTGAGTCTCCCTCTTCATTGACCTTGAGTTTTGGAGTTGTAGTTCACTTACATCCAAAGAGCACTGTGGGGTCAAACAATGATAGATCTGGACCAGACTGAGCACAGATATTCCATCTGAACACGAGGAAGAACTTCCTGACAGTGAGAGCCGTTCAGCAGTGGAACTCTCTGCCCCGGAGTGTGGTGGAGGCTCCTTCTTTGGAAGTTTTTAAACAGTGGCAGGATGGCCATCTGTCAGGGGTGATTTGAGTGCAGTGTTCCTGCTTCTTGGCAGGGGGTTGGACTGGATGGCCCATGAGGTCTCTTCCAACTCTTTGATTCTATGATTCTATGATTCTGTATTCAATATGCCCAACTGTGAACACTGGTGGAGTGTGGGGAAAATAGACCTTGACATCTGGGAGTTGTAGTTGCTGGGACATATAGTTCACTTACAAAGAGCATTCTGTACTCCACTGATGATGGAATTGAACCAAACTAGGCACACAGAACACCCATGACCAGCAGAAAATACTGGAAGGGTTTGGTGGGCATTGAGCTTGGGTTTTGGAGTTGTAGTTCACCTGCATCCAGAGAGCACTGTGGACTCAAACAGTGATAGATCTGGACCAAACTGGGCATGAATACTCCATATGCCAATATGTGAACACTGGTGGAGTTTGGGTAAAATAGACCTTGACATTTGGGAATTGTAGTTGCTGGGATTTGTAGTTCACCTACAATCAAATAGCATTCTGAACCCCACCAGCAATAGAATTGGGCCAAACTTCGCACACAGAGACCCCCATGACCAACAGAAAATCTGTGTTTTCTGATGGTTCTTGGTGACCCCTCTAACGCCCTCTCTGCTGCATCGCACTCTTGGCTGATGTTCAGCTTGTCCCTCACGAAGTCTCCAAGATCTTTCTCACTTGGACAGTTCTGGAGCCAGATGTCACCTGTTCTACATCTCTGATCTTTCTCACTTGGGCAGTTCTGGAGCCAGGTGCCACCAGTTCCAGATCTCTGATCTTTCTCACTTGGACAGTTCTGGAGCCAGATGCCACCTGTTCTAGATCTCTGATCTTTCTCACTTGGACATTTCTGGAGCCAGATGTCACCTGTTCTAGATCTCTGATCTTTCTCACTTGGACATTTCTGGAGCCAGATGTCACCTGTTCTAGATCTCAGATCTTTCTCACTTGGACATTTCTGGAGCCAGATGTCACCTGCTCTAGATCTCAGATCTTTCTCACTTGGACAGTTCTGGGGCCAGATGTCACCTGTTCTAGATCTCAGATCTTTCTCACTTGGACAGTTCTGGAGCCAGATGCAACCTGTTCCATATCTCAGATCTTTCTCACTTGGACAGTTCTGGAGCCAGATGCCACCTGTTCTAGATCTCTGATCTTTCTCATTTGGACATTTCTGGAGCCAGATGTCACTTGTTCTAGATCTCAGATCTTTCTCACTTGGACATTTCTGGAGCCAGGTGCCACCTGTTCTAGATCTCAGATCTTTCTCACTTGGACATCTCTGGAGCCAGATGTCACCTGTTCTAGATCTCATATCTTTCTCACTTGGACAGTTCTGGGGCCAGATGTCACCTGTTCTAGATCTCAGATCTTTCTCACTTGGGCAGTTCTGGAGCCAGATGTCACCTGTTCTAGATCTCAGATCTTTCTCACTTGGGCAGTTCTGGAGCCAGTTTCATTTTTTTCTGCCTTGATATTTGTGAGTTGTAGTTGCTGGGATTTGTAGTTCACCTACAATCAAAGAGCATTCTGAACCCCACCAGCGATAGAATCGGGCCAAGCTTCCTACACAGAGACCCCCACGACCGACAGAAAAGACTGTGTTTTCTGATGGTTTTTGGTGACCCCTCTGACACTCCCTCGTGACCCCCCCCCCCATGGGTCCTCACCCTCCAGGTTGAGAGACACTGCCTTGACATATTGAGACATGACTTTTCTCATGCCTCCTCTCCACCTTCTCTTCTGAGGCTCAGCAGACCCACCTCCTGATAGGGATTCTTCAAGGTCTCCAGATCTTAGATCCTTGGAGTCTCCCTCTTCCTCTGGACCCCTTCTTCCAGCTTAGAGTCAATCTCTCTTTTGAACGGTGGAGCCCAGAATTGGACACAGTGTGATTCCAGGTGAAGAGGTCTGCCCAAAAGCAGAATACAAGGACACCAGGACTTCTTCCCTCGATCTGGACACTGGACATCTTTGGAAGCAGCCCAGAATCCCATTGGCCTTTTTAGCTGATGCATCACACTCATGTTCAGCTTGTTCTCCACGAAGCCTCCCAGATCTTTCTCTTCTTGGACAGTTGGGGAGCCAGGCGTTACTCATTCTGTATCTCTGCATTTCATTTTAAACATGGCTGACATGAAGAACATTTCCATACAGTGCAGAATCTACAAATACTATTTGATTATTATTTATTTATTGTTCTTATACCCCGCTACCATCTCCCGCAGGACTCGGTGTGGCTTACAAGAGGCCAAGCCCAATAACATCATGAAAACAACAACAGCAAAACAATAAATAACTCATAAAAAGCAAAACAATACAATAATGTTGTTGTTCATTCGTTCGGTCGTCTCCGACTCTTCGTGACCTCATGGACCAGCCCACGCCAGAGCTCCCTGTCGGCCGTCACCACCCCCAGCTCCTTCAAGGTCAGTCCAGTCACTTCAAGGATGCCATCCATCCATCTTGCCCTTGGTCGGCCCCTCTTCCTTTTGCCTTCCACTTTCCCCAGCATAATTGTCTTTCTAGGCTTTGTGCTGTCTCTCATGATGTGGCCAAAGTACTTCAACTTTGTCTCTAGTATCCTTCCCTCCAATGAGCAGTCGGGCTTTATTTCCTGGAGGATGGACTGGTTGGATCTTCTCGCAGTCCAAGGCACTCTCAGAACTTTCCTCCAACTCCACAGCTCAAAAGCATCGATCTTCCTTCGCTCAGCCTTCCCTAAGGTCCAGCTCTCACATCCGTAGGTTACTACAGGGAATACCATGGCTTTGACTAGGCGGATCTTTGTTGCCAGTGTGATGTCTCTACTCTTTACTATTTTATCGAGATTGGACATTGCTCTCCTCCCAAGAAGTAAGCGTCTTCTGATTTCCTGGCCACAGTCTGCATCTGCAGTAATCTTTGCACCTAGAAATACAAAGTCTGTCACGGCCTCCACGGTTTCTCCCTCTATTTTCCAGTAATAACACAACACATTTTAAAAACATGGGGCAGGGCCAAATGTGAAAATTTTAAAAGTTAAAAACTGGGAAGTTCAAAGGGGATAGGAGGAATGTTTTGGGATAGGTGGACGTGCAGACAATTCTAAATCTCTCATAAAGTGCATTAAGGACATATTGCTTAGGATTCCTTATTCTGGGAAGGCACACCGGAACATCCACGTTTTCAAGCTCCTTCTAAAGGCTGTCAATGTTGGTGCCTTCCTGATGTCCTTGGGGAGGGAGTTTCAGAGTCGTGGGGCCACCACCGAGAAGGCCCTGTCCCTCATTCCCACCAATTGTGTCTGTGAAGCAGGTGGGATTGTGAGCAGGGCCTCACCAGATGAATAAAGAGATCGTGTGGGTTCGTATACAGAAATGCGGTCACGAAGGTAGATGGGTCCCAAACCATTTAGGGCTTTGTAGGTAAGCACCTGCACCTTGAATTGGGCCCGGAAAATGAATGGCAGCCAATGGAGCTCCTTAAACAGGAGGGTTTATTTATTTATTTGTTTGTTTGTTTATTTCAGGTACTTTTACCCCGCCCTTCTCAACCCCCGAGGGGGGACTCAGGGCGGCTTATAAAAAGGCACAATTTGATGCCTATACAAATTTCACATAATGTACAAAACCATAGTTAAAACAATTATCACAGTTAAAACAGTCAAACAATCAATATACAACGCATCATATAAAAACTATTCACATGCTCAGCGATTCGTCTTTCAGAGTTCCAAATTCCATTCCATTAGTCATTTCCTGGCCATTGTCAAAGTCCTTTCTTTATCTGCCCAATTGTCCGAATGCCTGGTCCCAAATCCATGTTTTCAGTTTTTTCCTGAAGGAAAGGAGTGATGTCGCTGATCTAATTTCCCCGGAGAGCGAATTCCACAGGTGGGGGGCCACCACTGAGAAGACCCTACTCCTTGTCCCCGCCAACCTCACTTGTGATAGAGGCAGGGTCGAGAGCAGAGTCTCCCCAGAAGATCTTAGACTCCGGGGTTGACCTCTCCCTGTAAGGAGCACCAGTTAACAGCCTGACCGCCGCCCGCTGAACCAGTTGGAATTTCCGGGCCGTTTTCAAGGGCAGCCCCATGTAGAGTGCATTACAGTAGTCCAATCTAGAGGTGACTAAGGCATGGACCACCCCAACCAGATCTGCCCTCACGAGGTACGGTCGCCGTTGGTGCACGAGTCTCAATTGTGCAAAGGCCCTCCCAGCCACCACCGATGCCTGAGCTTCAAACGTAAGTGATGAGTCCAGGAGGACACCCAAACTGCGGACCTGTGACTTCACGGGGAGCGCAACTCCATCCAGCACTGGTTGCCACCCTATATCTCGATCTGGTTTACGATAGAGAAACCCATCCTTCCCTCTGAAGGAGGGTCAGTCTTTCCCAAGGAGCTGCATCCTCTGATCAAGGGCCCAAAGAGGGTAATGGAGGCTGTGCATCTCCATCCACTCCATGGGGACCCTATGAACGAGAGCTAGATACAGGGCATGACTTTTTCCTCCTTTCCAGGGTGCTGTGCCTTTCGGAGAAGGGGCTTCACGCTGCGGAAGGATGGATCGGGGCCACCTGTCCACGGAGGTCCTGCAGGAGGAACGGGACCAAGAGGTCTCTCCAGGTCAGGACTTTCTCTTTCAGTCCTCTCTTTCCTTTGGGTTGTTTCCCTTTTGCTTCTCTGCCTTCTCCGGAGAACTGAAGGATCCCAATAGCTATTTATCTTTTGAATGCAAGTGAAATTGTACTTATTGTGGTACTTATTTATTTATGTACGCCATTTCTATGCCGCCCTTCTCACCCTGAAGGGGACTCAGAGCAGCTTACGAGTAATATGTAAATACAATATATTATATTATTACCATAGCACAAGATTCGTAGTATATACTACTATATTGTACTATACCATTATATTGTAATATTAATAGTAATGAGCCACCCTGCCATGTGTTGCTGTGGCCCAGTCTGTGTATATATGTTTTGTGTGTGTATGTATATGTATATAATGTGTTTTTGCAAATGTGTTGTAATGTGTTGGGTTTTTAATGGCTTTTTCAGTCTCTTTTGCTGTGTTTTTCAGTGTTTTATGAGTGATGGTCACTTGTTGTCCTGATCGGTATATTGTATCTAAATTTGGTGTCAATTCGCCCAGTGGTTTTTGAGTTATGTTAATCCCCAAAACGAATATTACATTTTTATTTCTATAGATTTCGCATATTTATTTATTTATTTATGTATTTATTTACAACATTTCTTACCCAAAGGGGCCTCAGAGCAGCTTACAAGTAAAAAGTAGATACAATATATCATATTATTACCATAGCACAATATTAATATTACAATGTAATTATCTATTACATTGTACTATAACATTATACAGTAATATTATTAGTAGGCCTGGGCAATCCATGGTTCTAAATGGTTCTAAAGTACTTACAAAACTAATGTTCTGGTGGTGAAAATTTCAGAACTCTAACAAAACTTTCAAAGTTTAATTACATTTTATTTATATAGATACTAGCCATCCCCTGCCATGTGTTGCTGTGGCTACATACCAAAACCTCCTACAACTGCAAGAAACAAAGAGTAAAGGGAAAGTTGCATACTAAAACATACATATACAATACAGTAAGCAAACAGAACCATATACAAAACAAATTACTAGTGGAGACTTGAGGAAGGTTACTATTTCAACAAAGGGAACCCTTTTCTAGCCTTTGGAGGTCCTCAGGCCCAATTCTAGGGTCAACCTACCATAAAAGTGGAGAATCTCATGCATAATTAGTCAAAAGCAGCCACCAATCAATGGCTGCCAGAGTCCTCTCTCATCCACACTCACTATCAGCTCTTATGTCCTCGTCCTTCCTTCAGATTATGGCCAGAAGATGGGTCCTTCTCAAAGGCCGCATGGGAAGACCTTGAGATCCTCTCAACGGAGAGCAAAGGATGGAGGAGAAGATGGAGGAGACTTGGAGAGGCGGCCGAGGAGAGACGGGACCTTCCCGGATCAAGATGAAGGTGCCTCTCAGACCCCAAATCCGAAGGTAGGGACCAGGACTGGATGCACCTTTTGTGGGAAGCCCTTGGGCGCTGCCTCAGAGCAAGGTCCACACCCCTTTCCACATTCCTCTTACCAATGATAAACCTTCATCATATTTTTTTAAGGAAATGTGACTTTGTCTTCCAGCTGCTGATTCTTTCTATCTTTATACTGCCCTCTTGTGGCTGCCTCTGAATGCTGGGTACACGTTTGAGCACTGCAGATATATATGTTTGCTTGTTCCACAAATGCTTCTACATGGCTTGATGGATCTGGACCAAACAAGTCACAAATACCTGTCGTTGCACAACTTGAAAGGATTGTGGGGTTTCAACTACTCCAAAAACCACTTCTTTATGGGATGAGGTCCCAAAAGTAAGCAATACGCATATAGTGCTCAGATGCAACCACAAGTGATCAGTATATAGATAGCAAGGATTGGCTACTGGTCTGTAGCTATGCAGCTCTGAAAGCTGCTGTAGGGACATGTCCTGGAGGCCATGGACAGCACTAATGGAACAAATCATACAGTTGAAAAGCTAAAGTGGAACCTCAACTTAAAAGTGTCCCAACTTAAGAACATTTTGGGTTTAGAGCCGTTGCTTGGCCCAGATTTCACTTTGACGTATGAACAGCATTTTGAGTTAAGAAATAGTGCCAGAGGGAGCGCTAGTGCAAGAGTGCAGGGCTTTAGGGCTTCAAGGGAGTGGCTAGAGGCCGGAGGCTGTCTATATAAGTGGGCACCACTGCCACATACATACACACATTTTCACTTTTATTCTGTACTAGCCAACCTAGCAGTTCGAAAACATGCAAATGTGAGTAGATCAATAGGTACCACTCCAGTGGGAAGGTAACGGCGCTCCATGCAGTCATGCCGGCCACATGACCTTGGAGGTGTCTATGGACAATGCCGGCTCTTCGGCTTAGAAATGGAGATGAGCACCACACCCCAGAGTCAGACATGACTGGACTTAATGTCAGGGGACTACCTTTACCTTTACCTTTTCTGTACTAGCTGTACCCGCTACACGTTGCTGTAGCCAACCTTCCCCCACTTTCTCCTCTTTCTTTCTTTCTTTCTTTCTTTCTTTCTTTCTTTCTTTCTTTCTTTCTCTCCTTCCTTCCTTCCTTCCTTCCTTCCTTCCTTCCTTCCTTCCTTCCTTCCTTCCTTCCTTCTCTTCTTCTTCCTTTCCTTCTCCCCACCTTTTCTTTCCCTTTCTAGGTGGAAGAGTTGGAGGGATGGGCGTTGGCGTTCAGCTGTAGGCTAAGCCAGTGGATAGTGATGAGGACGGGGTGGAGGGCAGCTCATCATCAGATGATGAGTTGTAGGATAAATGAAGGCACTGGAGTGATAGAACTTAGCAGTAGGCAAAGTGTTGGTTTCGTGCCTTGGGTCTTGTCGCTGCCGCTTTTCTTGTTGGGCTTGGGTCCTGGATCTGCAGGTTACTGCTTTCTTCGTGTACCGATGGGCTTGGATTCTCGTAAGTGCAGATTTCCCCTCTTCTTGACTTCGGACTGTTTATGACAATGATGCTGCCTTTTGGACTTTGGAACTTTCAACTGGGATTTCTTCGACTTTGGACTGCTTCTGGACGACGGCTTCTCTTCGCGGCTCTTTGTTTGCTCATTATCTTTAAACTGTGTGATTTTGGTGTGTTTTGAAAGAACTCTTATTTAATCCAGATTTTTTGCTAAATCCAGGGGGGATTGCTGTGCTGATTTCACAAAAAGTGGGTTTTAAGATTGATTCAATTGATTAAGATGATGAAGGGTGAATCTTGATAATTAAGGGTACAGTAAATAATGAGGATTATGTACTAGTGAATATCTATGCCCCAAATTCTGGCCAAAGGGATTTTTTTAGAGGGGTTGACGAAAGGATGAGAAAAGTACAAACAGACAATATGATAGTGGCAGGGGATTTTAATTGTGCCATCGCGCATGGGGGCTATTTTTCTTAATGAAAGAGGGATGGACGTGGCATCTTTCCCCCAAGGGATTGCTTCTTGCCATCCTATAGGTAACTGGAACTCTCAAAAACTTCAGAGGAGTGAAGGAAAATATACGTTACAGTCTCAATTAGTCCTGGGTCCAAGGGGTTTGAAGCTGAGAAGCCTCACCAAGTTTCCTCTTTCCTCGATGGCTGTGAATGCCAGAGCAAACCACAACCCCAGTTCAGATGGCCTATGTTTTGAAGACTCAGGATCTTTCTTTGGTGCCAAAAGAACCAGTTTGAAGGTGCTTGGGTCTTCTCAATGTTGTCCAGGACAATCTGGACATAAAGCATGAGTCCCAAGGGTAAAAACCCTCAGAACTGGTGCTAAGAGGTAACTTAAATCAGGGTCCTTTAGAGTCAAGTCTCTTACTCATGTCCATATGGTAGGAGCTCTGATGGCAGAATGAAAAAGAACGTAAGCACTCCCCTCCTGAAGGAAGAGGTGGAGCCAAACAGTACTGATTGACAGCTATAAGTAACCAATCCATACAACTATACATAAGCAGGGTAAAAGGGGCAGGATTAAGCATGATACAACAGTTTAAATCTTGCAACTCAGTTCTATACATAGGTGGCGCCACTTGCGCTGTCACATTAATACAACATTTAACCAGGAACTGGATTCATCATCACAAAAGAGGGGATTTACAAACTCTAAAATTACAACAGCAAAACAGCAGAGAGGAAACAACCAGGCACATCTTAACACCTCTCAACAAAAGATTTTCCCAGGCTCAGCCAGGCCTTCAAATGCTAATGAAGGTGGTCAGTTGAAACATTCACACCTAGCTCCAGCAGACAAGAGCGCTTTGCCCCACCCCAGCCATTCCACAGATATATAAACCCATTGTCCTATATCCAACAGACCTCACTACCTCTGAGGATGCTTGCCATAGATGCAGGCGAAACGTCAGGAGAAATGCCTCTAGAACATGGCCCTATAGCCCGAAAAAACCCACAAGAACCTACATCTTGTAAAAGTTTCTAATCATTACTCAAAGTAGACTTCAAACTCTTTGTCCGCATTTTCTCTCTTTATTTCAAATGGATTTGGGAAGCTAGATTTTGGGCCCATTTAACCATAGGATCTTTTGGTTGTTTGTTCTCCATTTCACATTTTAACAACCGTTTGTATATTTTCTACAGGAAATTCATACAGGGAAGAAACCGGAGTGTGGAAAGAGCTTCACTGAAAGCACAGGTCTGCGTTCACATCAAAGGACTCGCCCTGGGGAGAAACCCTATAAAGGCCTCGAGTATGGGAAGAGCTTCACTCAGAGGGCACATGTACAGGGACCTCACAAAATTCACACTGGGGAGAAACCGTATACATGCCTGGATTGTGGGAAGAGCTTTCCCTCCAGTAGGAATCTGTGTCTACATCAAAGGACACACACTGGGGAGAAGCCCTATAAATGCCTGGAGTGTGGGAGAAGCCTTGCTCATGGCTCGGCTCTGAGAGAGCACCTGAAGATCCACACTGGGGAAAGACGCTTTACATGTCCACAGTGTGGAAACAACTTTCGTAGTAATTATGCCCTCAAATCACACCAGAAGGTTCACACCGGAGAGAAACTCAATACATGTCCTGAATGCGGAAGACGCTTTGCTCATAAGTCGACCCTAGTTGCACACCGGAGGGTGCACATGGGGGAAAAGCCATACGAATGCTCTGATTGTGGGAAGACCTTCCATCAGAGAACGCACCTCGTTGTGCACCGGAGAGTTCATACGGGGGAGAAGCCCTACCAGTGTGCCGATTGTGGGAAAGCCTTTCGTCATAAAAGCCACTTTAACGTCCACCGGAGAATCCACACAGGAGAGAAACCTTACGCCTGCACAGTGTGTGGGAAGGCTTTTAGAACGAGGACGGTCCGTGACTCTCACCAAAGAATCCACACTGGAGAGAAGCCCTACAAGTGTTTGGAGTGCGGGAAAAGCTTCCATCAGAACTCAGCCCTTCATTCGCATAAGAAAACCCACGCTGGGGAGAAGCCATATCCCTGCTTTGAGTGCGGAAAGAGCTTCAGAAGTGGGTCGTATCTCACTGTTCACCAGAGGAGGCATTCTGGGGAGAAGCCATATCAATGCTCTGAGTGTGGACAGAGATTCGGTTACAGCACAAGCCTTGCTAAGCATAAAAAGGTTCACAAAAAAGGGAAACTATAGACAGATGTTGCATGAGGGGACTTGTGTTCAACTTGAGGCTAAATCTGGCCTACCATATCATTGTACTGATTCAATAATGTAGATTTTATTTTATTTATCGTGTCAGGAGCGAACCAAAACAGTTGTATTGCATTTTAAAAACAGACAAACAAACCAACAAAACACAAAGTTTGCAGACTTGGTATTCTATTAAATGCCCTTTGACCAGTATCTGGCCCCTTGGAGTGCCTCTGGTGTTGCTATAAGAAGGTCCTCCATTGTGCATGTGGCAGGGCTCAGGTTGCATTGCAGCAGGTGGTCAGTGGTTTGCTCCTCTCCACACTCGCATGTCGTGGATTCTACTTTGTGGCCCCATTTCTTGAGGTTGGCTCTGCATCTCATGGTGCCAGAGCACAGTCTGTTCAGCGCCCTCCAAGTCACCCACTTCTCTGTGTGCCCAGGAGGGAGTTTCTCATTCGGTATCAGCCATTGATTGAGGTTCTGGGTTTGAGCCTGCCACTTTTGGACTCTCGCTTGCTGAGGTGTTCCACGAAGGAGATAGCGAACAGGCTTTTGCCTCCTTCCCACGCTGATACTGAAAGTGCAGAAAGCCTTGATAGTGACCTGACCCGGCAGGCTCGTCTTGATTTGCGGGTCAGGCGGAGTTCTCGGCTGGCCGGCAGACGGGAAGCCAGCTTGGGCCAAGGTCATCGTAATGCTTTCATGTTGGTGAGAGCATAATGTTTTCATGTTAGAAAGGTATTTAGGCTTCTTGCAAACTAAGGGAAAGCTTCAGTTCAACATAACTTATTAGCCTGAAAGCTTCATGGATTACCTTAGCTGGCAAGCAGCACCTTTGAATTTCTTGCATTGTGATTCTTGGGGCAATTGTCTTTGCTTGTACCTTGTTTTTACCTGAAGATCTTTGGAACTGTATTCTGCATTTTACCCAAATCTTTGGAACTTTGCAATGCTTATTCTTTATTTTGACTTGGATTTTTTCCTCAATAAACTATAAAACTACAGCTCTTGCGTGGTGGTGTTTGGAAGCAAGGTGAAGCTTACTCTGAGTTGCAACAGAGTCCATATATCCCATGTGTATGAGAAAATTTGAGAAAGGAACTGGGAACTTCTAACTTGAACCCAGACGTTGACTCCTCTAAGGAACAACCCAAACCAAACCTCATCTATACTTAAGAAACTATGGCGTTTCCCTTGAGAACTCTCTGCAGGGCCCCTTCTCATTAACAGGCGCCGAGAGCAGCGCCTCCCTTCAGCTGATTATCTTTGTTGACAAATTGCTTTTCTGTCTAACTCAGGAGAAACAGGGGAGTCAGGAGACACATCTGCAATGACCACATTCCAGAGACTGGCCTTGGTTCATTTTCCGGTCCCAATTCAAGGTGCAGGTGCTCAACAAATCATACAGTTGAAAAGCTAAAGTGGAACCTCAACTTAAAAGTGTCCCAACTTAAGAACATTTTGGGTTTAGAGCCGTTGCTTGGCCCAGATTTCACTTTGACATATGAACAGCATTTTGAGTTAAGAGATAGCGCCAGAGAGAGCGCTAGTGCAAGAGTGCAGGGCTTTAGGGCTTCAAGGGAGTGGCCAGAGGCCGGAGGCTGTCTATATAAGTGGGCACCACTGCCACATACATACACACATTTTCACTTTTATTCTGTACTAGCCAACCTAGCAGTTCGAAAACATGCAAATGTGAGTAGATCAATAGGTACCACTCCAGTGGGAAGGTAACGGCGCTCCATGCAGTCATGCCGGCCACATGACCTTGGAGGTGTCTATGGACAACGCCGGCTCAGGCCTGTCAGCTTCTGAACCTGTCTCCATCTGCAAAACCATTGCTAGCCTAGCATTCCCAGTATCCTCAGCCCTATCAGGAACAGAACCAGACTCCTGTGAGTCCTCAGATGCTGGCACAATGTCCCCTGAAACCTCAGGCAGTGGTACAATCACAGGCTGAACCACAACTTTATGCATTATGTCACAACACAGTTAATTGAGCTTGATGGGGTTACACTCCCCCTGAGGGTGCAGGTTCGCAGTTTGGGAGTGATCCTGGACTCATTGCTAAGCCTGCAACCCCAGGTCTCAGTGGTGGCCAGGGGAGGATGAAACATCCTTCTTGGCATGAGGCCCCTGCTTCCCTGTTTGCGGCCACATGTGGCCGTGTGTCATCGAAAATGGCTACACGTGTCAGTGCTGACACACGTGTCATAGGTTCGCCATCATGGATCTAAGTCATTAATAAAGATCCTGAACAGGACCGGGCCCAGGAGGGAACCCTGCTGATGGCACTCCGCTCGTCACTTCTTTCCAGGATGAAGAAGAAGCCTTGGGGAGAATCACCCTCTGGGTTCGTCCACTTAACCAATTCCAGACCCACCTCACCGTAATTTTGCCTAGCCCACATTGGACTAATTTCCTTGCCAGAAGGTTATGGGGGACCTTGTCAAAGAAGGCCTTCCTGAAATCCAGGTACGCTACATCCACGGCATTCCCCGCATCTACCCAGCTTGTAACTCTATCGAAAAACTGCTAGGCCATCAAATACTAATCAAGGTGACCAACTGGAACATTCACAGAAACATTCATGATCATGAAATTGATGGGGGCACACAACAGATCTCATGGGAACCTTTCTATTTTTGGAAATCTATGATTGATGTATGGCTTATGTCATAGACTTGTAGAGTTGGAAGATACCCTGCCATGCAGGAAAAGCACCATTCAATGAAGGCAGAAGGGGGTTGGACTAGAAAGCCCCTCGAGTGCAGGACGAGTGCCTGGCCGCTGTGGCTGTCTGGATGAGGATGAACAAGCTGAAGATCAATCCCGACAAGACAGAGGTCCTCGCAAACCGGATCGGGGTATAGGGTGGCAACCTGTGTTGGACGGGGTTACACTCCCCTTGAAGCCACAGGTCCGCAGTTTGGGAGTCCTCTTGGATTCATCGCTCTCGCTTGAGGCTCAGGCGTCGGCGGTGTCCGGAAGGGCTTTTGCACAATTGAGACTCGTGTGCCAACTGCGACCTTATCTCGTAAAGGCTGATCTGGCCGGGGTGGTCCATGCCTTAGTCACCTCTAGATTGGACTACTATAATGCGCTCTACATGGGGCTGCCCTTGAAAACGGCCCGGAAATTTCAGCTAGTCCAGCGGGCGGCAGCCAGGATGTTAACTGATGCTCCTTACAGAGAGAGGTCAACCCCCCTGTTTAAGGAGCTCCATTGGCTGGCGTTCATTTTCCGGTCCCAATTCAAGGTGCAGGTGCTTACCTACAAAGCCCTGAACGGTTTGGGACCTGCCTACCTGCGTGACCGCATCTCTGTTTATGAACCCACGCGTTCTCTTTGCTCATCCGGAGAGACTCTGCTTGCAATCCCTCCTGCGTCGCAGGCGCGTTTGGTGGGGACGAGGGACAGGGCCTTTTCTGTGGTAGCCCCCTGACTTTCGAACACCCTCCCCAAAGACATCAGACTAGCACCAACGTTGGCAGTCTTTAGGAAGAGTTTGAAGACCTGGCTGTTCCGATGTGCCTTTCCTGAATAAGAAAACTCCAACAACAAGTCCCAGAAGCACTTTATCATAATTAAGATTACTGCACACTGCACTTGCCCTACAATCCTTATATACCACCTGTCACATCAGCACTTTTAATTCTGTACCCATTACTCTGGCCCGGCCCAGTTTTATTGTGTCTTGGTGTATTGTTTATTGCTCATTGTTTAATATTGCTTTAATTGTTTTTAATTTGCTTTAGGTTTTCATAGAATCATAGAATCATAGAATCAGAGTTGGAAGAGACCTCATGGGCCATCCAGTCCAACCCCATTCTGCCAAGAAGCAGGAATATTGCATTCAAATCACCCCTGACAGATGGTCATCCAGACTCTGTTTAAAAGCCTCCAAAGAAGGATCCTCCACCACACTCTGGGGCAGAGAGTTCCACTGCTGAACGGCTCTCACAGCCAGGAAGTTCTTCCTAATGTTCAGATGGAATCTCCTCTCTTGTAGTTTGATGCCATTGTTCCGCGTCCTAGTCTCCAAGGAAGCAGAAAACATTGTTTGGGACATTGTATTGTTATGTTGTGTGTTGAGGCTTTGGCCTTTGTAAGCCGCATCGAGTCCTTCGGGAGATGCTAGCGGGGTACAAATAAAGATAATAATAATAATAATAATAATAATAATAATAATAATAATAATAATGATAATAATAAATAAAGAACAACTTTCAAAAACAGGGGAACCCCAGACAAGAAACAATCAGGGACAGCTAATCACCTCTCAACAAAGGATTCCCCCGGCAGTAAGAAGCCAGACCTTGAAACTGCTAGGCCATTAAATACTAATCAAGGTGGCCAACTGAAACATTCACAGAAACATTCATGATCATGAAACTGATGGGGGCACACAACAGATCTCATGGGAACCTTTCTATTTTTGGAAATCTATGATTGATGTATGGCTTATGTTACAGACTCGTAGAGTTGGAAGATACCCTGCCATGCAGGAAAAGCACCATTCAATGAAGGCAGAAGGGGGTTGGACTAGATGGCCTTGATGAGCCCCTTCTAGGAGGCCTTGGCTTGGCTTCTGCTCTTCTGGAGCATTGTTTACATATGGGAGGCCAAAGAGGAAAAGCAAGCCAGGGAGGGAATGGGCATGAACACTTCCGGCTCCCAAGCGAACTCCCTCTTGTGTTCTTTTGGAGGGTGGAGCATGCGCACTGGCGCTCCCTTTCTCTATGGTTCTCTGCGGGTCGCTTGGGAACCTGAAGTGTTGCTTCCGCTTGCCTTTGTGCCCAGGAAGGAGAGAAGGACGCTGCAAGGTTTGCATGGAGGGGATTTCCTGGGTGGTTTTGGCTTGGGAGGGGGCTCATTAAGGCTGAATTAATTAATGCATTGGGACCAATGCACACAGAAAAGGGCCTCCTTTGTGCATTAACCCCAGTGCATTAATTAATTTTTGCAATAATTAATAATAAATAATAAGTGGGGGGGGGGAGGGTTCCCATTGAAAAGCAAGGGCTTGTTGCATCAATTCATTTGCAGTCATGGTTTTGCAAGGAAGGGAAGGCAATGCAAGGATGTGTTTGGTTTTGCAAGGAAGAGAATGCAATGCAATTTTGTTGCATTAGTAGAAGTAATGATATAATATTGTGTTATTTTAATAATGCAATATAAGCAAATATATAATGTTGCAAAATAGTGCATCGTGTAATATGTTATTTTATAGTGTTATATTAGGAAATACATTTATAATATTGTATTAATAATATAATATCGCTTTTGGGCTGAGAAAGGCGGGATAGAAATATCTATATAATATAATATAATTATAATATAATATAATATATAATACAATTAATATAATATAATGGTCCAAAAGCCACAGAGGAACCTTGCCTTTTCATAACTCTCTCTGAATTATTTCTTTTATCAATTCCATGCATAATATAACACATGATACATTTATTTCCATATATATATATATACACATACACACACTGTACATAATGCTATGATATTACAAATTCAAAACAAAGCAAAATAAATTAATAGGTACAGTATATAAAGGAAATAAATGATATTATAAATGAAAACCCAAATATTTCCATATATATATATATATATATATATATATGCACATACATACACACACACACACACACTGTACATAATGCTATGACATTACAAATTCATATATATATATATCCTATATATAGGAAATAAATGATATTATAAATGAAAACCCAAATATTTCCATATATATATATATATATATATATATATGCACATACATACACATACACACACTGTACATAATGCTATGACATAAATTCAAAACAAAACAAATTAATATGTACAGTATATATAGGAAGTAAATGATATTATAAATGAAAACCCAAATATTTCCATATATATATATATATATATATATATATATATATATATGCACATACATACACACACTGTATATAATGCTATGATATTACAAATTCAAAAAACAAACAAAATAAATTAATATGTACAGTATATATAGGAAATAAATGATATTATAAATGAAAACCCAAATATTTCCATATATATATATATGCACATACATACACACACACACACATACACACACTGTACATAATGCTATGACATTACAAATTCAAAACAAAATAAATTAATATGTACAGTATATATAGGAAATAAATGATATTATAAATGAAAACCCAAATAAAATTAAATAAAACTTTTCAGAGACATGAAATGTGTGTATGTTTATAGGCATATACAAATTATATATATATATGGAGATAGAATATTTTTCATAGATTAGATATAGATATCTGATGTGTTTGTGTGTGTGTATATATATATGTGTGTGTGTATATATATAATATAAAATAACACATATATGGAGATATATGGAGGTATAATTTTTCAGACCCATTAATTATATTACATCATACATAGATAGATAGATAGATAGATAGATAGAGGGCATCTATCTATCTAATAGGACATAATTTATATAGTAATGAAGATTGAATATTTTTTTCAGACCCATTAAGTAGGGGTGCTTTGAATGCGATTTTCTGGTTGGACTGGATGGCCCATGAGGTCTCTTCCAACTCTATGATTCTATGTATACTATATTACTATATGTACAATATAGTAATATTTAATACTGATATTGTTCTATGCTAATAATATTATTGTTTGTTTGTGTGTATATGTGTGTGTGTGTGTGTGTATACACACACACACACACACACACACACACACATACACTAGCCATCCCCTGCCACGCGTTGCGTTGCTGTGGGCCACAGGGGGTTCTGTGTGGGAGGTGTGGCCGAATTCTATCGTTGGTGGGGTTCAAAATGCTCTGTGATTGTAGGTGAACTATAAATCCCAGGAACTACAGCTCTCAAATGTCAAGATTCTATTTTCCCCAAACTCCACCAGTGTTCACATTTGGGCATATTGAGTATTCGTGTAGAGTTTGGTCTGGATGTAGGTGAACTACAACTCCAAAACCAAAGGACACTGCCCACCAAACCCTTCCAGTATTTTCAGTTGGTCATGGGAGAATTGTGTGCCCAGTTTGGTTCAATCCCATCGTTGGTGGGGTTCAGAATGCTCTTTGATTGTAGGTGAACTATAAATCCCAGCAACTAAAACTTCCAAATGACAAAATATATTTTTTTGGGTGAAGGACATACATTGGGTTGTTAGGTGTCTTGTGTCCAAATTTGGTTTCAATTCATCCAGTGGTTTTTGAGTTCTGATGGTAGCACAAACAAATATTACCGTTTTATTTATATAGATAAATAATAACAAGAAGAGCATTAATAATAATAAAAAATCAATTGAATTACTGTTGAATTGACATTGAATAGACATTATGGCCAATGTCAAGTATGGTCTTGACCCTTATTATTATTACTACTACTACTACTACTATATTACTAGTATTACTAGTACTAGTACTATATGTTCCATTGCTGTTAAACTGACTTTATTTCCAATGTCAAGTGGATCGATAAAACTTTTGAATGGATTTGTTACAGACCTAAGAGCTCAAAATCCCGAAACGGCTGATATCTGAGCATCTCGATCCCTGGGTCAGGATTTAGACTCTACTCTCTTCCTTTTTAGGACCTTTCTGACAGACCTTGGTTTGATAACGGAGGAGGATTCTGCATCATGGAAGAAGGGGATTGTGGGAACACGCCCCCTCCGGGTAAGGATCTTCCCTCTCGGTTCCTTCCTTGACCTTTGATTTAACCCTGGACCTTCACGCCCACAAATACAGTATGACCCCATAGCTGTTGGAGTGGTTCCTGTGGTGTCGTTGACCCCGGTTGGACCACATATGCCCTCTTTACGTCATTCTACAGTGTGCATCCACTGGACGTTAAGCATGCATCACACTGGAGGACCAGGTGAGGCCCAGAGAGAGGTTCTTTGAGTTTTGTAGGCCATCCAGATGATTCTACACCTGAGAACTGACCACAGAGCAGGCATGGAACAAGTTCAGCCCTCCCTCCAGGTGTTTTGGACTCCAATTCCCACAATTCACAGAAAACCAAGGACCTGGTGAGGCCCAGAGAGAGGTCCTTTGAGTTTTGTAGGCCATCCGGATGATTCTACACCTGGGAACTGACCACAGAGCAGGCATGGGACAAGTTCAGCCCTCCCTCCCAAGTGTTTTGGACTCCAACTCCCACAATTCACAGAAAACCATATTTAATAATCTGATGTGGTCTATTCTGAATCAGCACCCCAAATATCCCCAGGAACAGGCCTAAAAATGGAGACACCAAAGCACCCCCACTTCTAGGTGCCACATGGAACATCTCCGCTCAGGGAAGGAGGAGGAGGAGAAGCAGCAGTCAGAAGTCTTGTTTTATCGAAGGCGTTAATGTCCGAAATCACTGGGTTGTTGTAGGTTTTTTTCGGGCTACATGGCCATGTTCTAGAGGCATTCTCTCCTGACGTTTCTCCTGCATCTATGGCAAGCATCCTCAGAGGTAGTGAGGTCTGTTGGAACTAGGAAAATGGGTTTATATATCTGTGGAAAGACCACCATGTCAGACTATACAGAGAAGCCATTGAAATCCACAAGAAACATGTGGACAATTTCAACAGAAAGGAGGAAACCATGAAAATGAACAAAATCTGGCTACCAGTATTAAAAAACTCTAAAATTACAACAGCAAAACAACAGAGAGGAAATAATCAAGGACATCTAATCACCTCTCAACAAAAGATTGCTCCAGGCACTGCCAGGCCATCAAATGCTAATCAAGGTGGTCAGTTGAAACATTCACACCTAGCTCCAGAAGACAAGAGTTCTTTGTCCCACCCTGGTATTTCCACAGATATATAAACCCATTTTCCTAGTTCCAACAGAGCTCACTACCTCTGAGGATGCTTGCCATAGATGCAGGCGAAACGTCAGGAGGGAATGCTTCTAGAACATGGCCATATAACCCGAAAAAACCTACAACAACCCAGAAGTCTTGCTGTTGCGCATTTCATGGGTAGTCATCCTCTATCCTCCCAACATCCCCGTTGCCTCGGCACTATAAGAAGGTTTCGTGAGACTAGTCGTTCTCGTTGTAGTGGTGTAACAGTGGGGCCACAGACCATATTTTAGTTCTACTTGAGTGTTGCACCTTCCTTGCGCTCCCTTCAGGATATATTGCACTCATGGAGCCTGAAACCTCAGCTATGTTCTCTCTCAGCTATATTGTTTTTATATTGTTTACAATTGGTGGTTGTCTATATTTTATTTGATGTTTTTAATTGGTTGTGTTCTATTTCTAATTTTTGGGCTTGTCCCTTGTCCGCCGTCCTGAGTCCCCTTGGGGAGATGGTTGGTGGGGTATCAAAATTAAGTTATTATTATTATTATTATTATTATTATTATTATTATTATTATCATTATTATTATTATTTGGGGACCACTGGTTGTCCATGGACCACAGGTTGGGAACCACTTCTCTAGAGGTCCTACAGATGTGTGAAGGTATCTCTCTAAGTATCTCTATTTCTCCAGCATAACTCTATAGCAGTGGTTCTCAACCTGGGGTCCCCAGATGTTTTTGGCCTACAACTCCCAGAAATCCCAGCCAGTTTACCAGCTGTTAGGATTTCTGGGAGTTGTAGGCCAAAAACATCTGGGGACCCCAGGTTGAGAACCACTGCTCTATAGCAGGCATGAGCCAACTTCGGTCCTCCAAGTGTTTTGGACTTCAACTCCCACAAGTCCAAAACATCTGGAGGGTCAAAGTTTGCCCATGCCTGCTCTATAGACAACTTCTGGCAGAAGTTGATCATAGAACAATGGTTCTCAACCTGGGGTCCCTAGATGTTTTTGGCCTACAACTCCCAGAAATCCTAGCCAGCTTGCCCACTGTTAGGATTTCTGGGAATTGAAGGCCAAAAACATCTGGGGACCCCAGGTTGAGAACCACTGCCATAGAACCATGTCATCCAGCATCACTCTGTTGTCCATGTCCAATGGAAGCTGATCACAGAGTCATGCTGGAGGAGATAGAGAGCACATATAAGCCCTTCAGTGTGACTCTGGTCAGCTTCTGCTGGAATTGCTTAACTAGGGAAGGATGATGGAGAGAATGCAGGAGGGAAAATGCCGCACAGAATAGGTAAAGAATATCTGGTTACTCTAAAATCCAAGTCTCTAGGGCAAGACGAACATTCTACAAATACCTGGAGAAGTGTTTTCTGTAGGAATCTTGCCTTCAAATGTGGCTTCCACTGGAAGATAAACATAGCCTGGCTCTAGAGGTCCTAGAAATGAAGACATGTTATCTCTAGAATCTTGGATGTTACACATAGAATTGCTCTAGAGGTCCTACAGATGTGTGAAGGTATCTAAGTATCTCTATTTCTCCAGCATGACTCTGTAGCAGGCATAAGCCAACTTCAGTCCTCCAGGTCTCTTGGACTTCCAACTCCCACAAGTCCAAAACATCTGAAGGGTCAAAGTTTGTCCATGCTTGCTCTAGGGGTCCTGGATGTTACACATAGAATTGCTCTAGAGGTCCTACAGATGTGTGAAGGTATATCTCTCTAAATATCTCTATTTCTCCAGCATGACTCTATACCAGGCATAAGCCAACTTCAGTCCTCCAGGTCTCTTGGACTTCCCACTCCCACAAGTCCAAAACATCTGAAGGGTCAAAGTTTGTCCATGCCTGCTCTATAGACATCTTCTGGCAGAAGTTGACCATAGAACCATGTCATCCAGCGTCATTCTATGGTCAATGTCCAGTGGAAGCTGACCACAGAGTCATGCTGGAGGACCTAGAGAGCACATATTAATAGAATCCATAAATATGGAGAACCAATTGCGTTTTTTGACTAGAGATTATCCCCCTTGTCATTTCTTCAGGGGAGGACAGTCCTCTGGAGCCATACGAGGTGATCTCAAGAGTAATCAAGGAAGAAGTCTTTGAGGAAGATGAAGAATTAAGGATGTTGGAGGAAGAGGTGAAGGAAGAACTCTTTGAGGAAAATGAAGAATTGAGGATACTACAAGAAGAAGTGAAGGAAGAAGTCTTTGAGGAAGACGAAGAATCAAGGATGTTGGAGGAAGAAGCGAATGAGGAAGTCTTGAAGGAAGAAGTCTCAAAGACGCCGAAGGAAAACCCAGCAGAGATTGAGTGGAGTATACCGACTCCTTGGCTGACGGATGATCTTTCTGAAATCCCGATCCAAATCCCAAAGGGGAAGAAAAAGAAGATTGATCGTTCTTCGCTTGGGAAAAAAGTCCTGCCCAAATCCAGCCCTGACTCTCAGACAGGAGGAAAGGCCCATATATGCCTGGAACACCAAAAGATACGTCAGTGTCTGAAATGCCAAAAGGACCCTCAGAGAATAGAAAAGGGAGACGAAATTTCACCCGAGAACATCTCCACGGAAGAGAAACCATACAAATGCCCGGATTGCGGAATGAGTTTTGCCAACAGGAAGGGCTTTGCGACACACCGGCGCGTCCACATGGGAGGGAAACCCTACAAATGCTCAGATTGCGGCAAGAGCTACGGCCGGAAGCCTTACGACTGCCAGGATTGCGGCAAGACCTTGAGCAACAAACGCAACCTGACCTTCCACCAAAGGACCCACACGGGGGAGAAGCCCTACAAGTGCCAGGAGTGTGGGAAGTGCTTCAGCCAGAACTCCAGCCTCCGCATCCATGAGAAGATCCACACTGGGGAGAAGCCGTACAAATGCACAGAGTGCGGGAAGGACTTCATCCACAGCACGAGCCTGATCCAGCACCTCCAGATCCACACCGACGAGAAGCCGTTCACCTGCTCGCAGTGCCAGAAGAGCTTCCGGAGCAGCACCAAGCTGAACCTGCACATGAGGATCCACACTGCGGAGAAGCCGTACCAATGCACAGAGTGTGGGAAGAGGTTCAGCTACAACTCCTACCTCCGCTTGCATAAACGGATCCACAACGGGGAGAAACCCTACAAATGTCAGGAGTGTGGGAAGAGCTTCCACCAGAGACAGCACCTGGTGTCCCACCAGCGGACCCACACTGGGGAGAAGCCCTACCAGTGCTTCGAGTGCGGGAAGACCTTCAGCCAGAGCTCGCACAGAAACCTCCACGAGCGGGTCCACACTGGAGAGAAGCCCTACAACTGCCTGGACTGCGGCAAGACCTTCAGCAACAACCGCAACCTGACCTTCCACCAAAGGACCCACACGGGGGAGAAGCCCTACAAGTGCCAGGAGTGTGGGAAGTGCTTCAGCCAGAGCTCCAGCCTCCGCATCCACGAGAAGATCCACACGGGAGAGAAGCCGTACCATTGCCTGGAGTGCGGGAAGCAGTTCACCTGCAGCTCGAGCCTCATCTATCACCAGAAGACGCATGCCGCGGAAAAGCCCTACAAGTGCTTTGAGTGCGGGAAGAGCTTTGGGCAGAGCCAGCGCCTCATGATGCACAGTAAAATCCACGGGAAGAAAATATAAGTGGGTTGAGATAGAAGAGCTATAAAGGAAGACACTCCGAGAAGGGCATGTTCCTCTGTAGGCCCCTATAGGAGGAAGATCGTGTCTAGATCAAGGGAGGTCATTGTCTGTTTTGGTGTCCTGGAGGTTATGCTTGATTCAGCCACATGGGGTGCTATCGCTCCTTCTATTATGACAACATGCCAGTTAATTCCATTAATAGACATGTTGAGAAGTCTACTTTGAGGTTCAAACTTCTCATCATGCCAACGGATGGAAGTAACTGGAAACTGAAATGTTCTCATTCTAATTCACACCCTGATTTGCATTGCGTGTCCATCAAAAAATATCGATGGAGCCTGATTACTGTCAATGTTTATTGACACAGTTTTCAAGTGTTTCTTTTGTGAATACAAATTACCAGTCGTTTTTAGTTATTTTAAGACTTGAAGCTTTGTAACTAAAATAGAAATTTAGTTTAATTAAATCTATATAAAAATATAGAATGAACCATATAATTGAAATTATTTTGTGTTATGGAACTGCTCTTCATAATTCATTAAAAAGAAGTTTCACCCCCCCCCCCCCTGGATTTTTTTCTGGCTATGGCCATGTGGAGGATAGTCATAGCCCCACTCCTCTATTTGTCTTTGGTTAGATCAGTGGTTCTCAACCTATGGGTCCCCAGGTGTTTTGGCCTACAAGTCCCAGAAATCCCAGCCAGTTTACTAACTGTTAGGATTTCTGGGAGTTGAAGTCTAAAACATCTGGGGACCCACAGGTTGAGAACCACTGGGTTAGATCTTCTCACCTGGGAGAATAACCTTGTCCCAGAATTCAAGGAGGAAACGGACAAGGTGGAAAGAGTCCAGAGAAGGACCAACGAAACAACCAAATATTTGGAAACCCTGAAGCCCTTTGAGCAGTGGTTTTCAAGCTGTGGGTCCCCACATGTTTTGGTCTACAACTCCCAGAAATCCCAGCCAGTTTACTAACTGTTAGGATTTCTGGGAGTTGAAGGCTAAAACATCTGGGGACCCACAGGTTGAGAACCACTGAGTTAGATCTTCTCACCTGGGAGAATATCCTTGTCCCAGAATTCAAGGAGGAAACTGACAAGATGGAAAGAGTCCAGAGAAGGACCAACGAAACAACCAAACATTTGGAAACTCTGAAGCCCTTTGTACAGTGGTTCTCAAGCTGTGGGTCCCCGTGTGTTTTGGCCTACAACTCCCAGAAATCCGATCCAGTTTTCCAGCTGTTAGGATTTCTGGAAGTTGAAGGCTAAAACATCTGGGGACCCACAGGTTGAGAACCACTGGGTTAGATCTTCTCACCTGGGAGAATATCCTTGTCCCAGAATTCAAGGAGGAAATGGACAAAGTGGAAAGGGTTCAGAGAAGGACCAACGAAACAACCAAACATTTGGAAACCCTGAAGCCCTTTGAGCAGTGGTTCTCAACTGTGGGTCCCCAGGTGTTTTGGCCTACAACTCCCAGAAATCCCAGCCAGTTTACCAGCTGTTAGGATTTCTGGGAGTTGAAGACCAAAACATCTGGGGACCCACAGGTTGAGAACCACTGGCTTTGAGGAACATCTCAAGGAGCTGTGTCTGTTTAGTGTGGAGAAGAGACGTGGGCAGGAGAGCCATGTTTAGATGTTTGGAAGGATGTCCCATTGAGGGCCAGCTTCCTTTCTGTCTTCCTTTAACTGTCTTGATTCTGGTTTTATTTTAATACTGGTAACTAGATTTTGCTCATTTCCATGGTCTCCTTTATATTGAAATTGTCCACCTGCTTCTTGTGGGCTTCTGAACACCAGAATCAAGGCAGTAAGTAATGAACACTACTCAGAAACAGGGGAACTCTAGATAGCAAACAGCCAAGTGCCAATCCCAAAAAGGATGTTCCTGGGCAACACAGGTCTATGGAGATCCCTTCACTGATTGACTTTGCAACTTCATAGCGACTCAATTCAATTCAAGCTGGCTAATTGCAACATTCACACTTGCTTCAAACAGACAAGGGTTCTTTCCCCCACCCTGGACATTATTCCACAAGTTCGGATCTGCAGCTTTCTGGCCAAATCATTACCTCACAAGCAAAGGTGGAAAGTTTTAATTGAAAAGCATGCAGTAGGGAACGCAACAAAGTTCCAACTGACTGTTTATTTCCCTCACGTCTCACCCTGGCATTGCTCTCTCCCAGATTTCAAATATACACAAGACAGCCTAATTTCCTGGCTTCAAACAAAACCAGTAAATAAGATCATGATACCACAGGGATGGATGTGTGTGTGCGTATGTGTATGTATGTATATGTACACACACACACACACATATATAATGCTCTGTTGGTTTTGTGTGACATCATAACTCAAAGTCTGCTGGACGAATTGCCACTAAATTTGGGCCACAAGACACTTACTAACCCAAGGAGTGACCATCACTAAAAAAAATTGATTTTGTCATTTGGGAGTTGTAGTTGCTGGGATTTATAGTTCACCTACAATCAAAGAGCATTCTGAATTCCACCAATGATAGAATTGAATGAAATTTGGCACACACAACTCCACCAATGATGGAACTGTACCAAACTTGGCACACAGAACTCCCATGACCAACAGAAAACACTAGAAGGGTTTGCTGGGCATTGACCTTGAGTTTTGTAGTTCACCTGCATCCAGAGAGCACTGTGGACTCAAACAATGATGGATCTGGATCACACTTGGGAGAAATACTCCATATGCCCAAATATGAACACAGATGGATTTTGGGGGAAATAGACCTTGACATTTGGGAGTTGTAGTTACTGGGATTTATAGTTCACCTACAATCAAAGAGCATTCTGAACTTCACCAACAATAGAACTGGGCCAAACTTCCCACAAAGAACCCCCATGACCACAGAAAATCCTGTGTTTTACGGTGGTCTTTGGCTACCCTTCTGACACCCCCTTGCAACCCCCCAGGGGTCCTGACCCCCAGGTTGAGAAAAGCAGCCTTAAGACCATCCAGTCCAACTCCCTTCACCAGAGCAAGAAAACCTAAAGCCCTCTTGACAAAGAATCATCCAGTCATAGATATAGATTGATATGATTCACACACACATATATGTATATGACAGATATAGTTTTATAGATTCAAAAGGGACCCCTAAAGAAGGACAATTATATGTTGCATATTCCAGAGTAGGCAAACCAGACCATCTCTACAACACCAAGAAATACTGTTTACCCACAAGCAGAAAGACATTACATATATTGGAACACTTTTCTCATTACAGATCACCAGACTGGACTACAGCAACACGTGGCAGGGGATAGCTTGTGTGTGTGTGTGTGTGTGTGTGTGTGTGTGTGTGTATGTGTGTGTATGTATGTGTATGAGGGGCCTTCATAGGTGCCACCTCAGGACATACACTTCTCCCATCTTTTCAAGCAACTGTAAGCACCTCGCGTATAGAAGTCAACAGGTTGCTCCAAAAGCCACAAGGTGACATCGGAAACCAGAGTCTCATCATCTGAGAAACACTTGCTCTTCCAAAATAACTTCCTTGTTGGAAAGAGGCGGAAGTCTAATGGTGCGGGATTGGGTGAATAAGGGGAATGTGGTCGGATTTCAAAACCACAGGAGCATGCTTCTATTTGGGCAACAGTTGAGTTGTGAACTGGTGCATTGCCTTGCAGAAAGTGGACACCTTTGAGGAGCATGCCACATTGTCTCTTGGTTTGGATGGCCTCCTGCAATTTCCGCAGCAGTGAAGCCTAGTCTGCCCCATTGACTATGGTCCTCTTTGCTAGGAAATCCATCAATCCTACTCTGTGAGCATGACCTTGTCTGCCGAGAGTTGGGCACATGCTGTCTTTGGAAGTGGTGAGTCATGATGCTTCCATTGCATCAAAATGATCATGAGTCTGGAGAGCAAGCCCTATGAGGAGCGGCTTAAGGAGCTGGGCATGTTTAACCTGAAGAAGAGAAGGCTGAGAGGGGATATGATAGCCATGTATAAATATGTGAGAGGAAGCCACAGGGAGGAGGAGGGAGCAAGCTTGTTTTCTGCTTCCTTGGAGACTAGGACGCAATGGAACAATGGCTTCAAACTACAAGAGAGGAGATTCCATCTGAACATGAGGAAGAACTTCCTGACTGTGAGAGCCGTTCAGCAGTGGAACTCTGTGTAGTGAAGGCTCCTTCTTTGGAAGCTTTGAAACAGAGGCTGGAAGGCCATCTGTCAGGGGTGATTTGAATGCAATATTCCTGCTTCTTGGCAGAATGGGGTTGGACTGGATGGCCCAGGAGGTCTCTTCCAACTCTTTGATTCTAGGATTCTATGAACTGGATTTTAGTGTCAGGACCATAGTGATGGACCCAGTTTTCATCATGTGTGATCAGTCTGTTGAAAAAGTCCTGGTTTCCCTGGCACATCATTGTCAAGAGGGCCTGAGAGCATTCGACTTGTTCCTGCTCCTGGAAAGGTGTGAGCAGTCAGGGGACCCAGAGAGCGGAGACCTTATGCATGTGAAGATGGTCTAGGGTGATTTTTTCCCCCATGGACCTCACACTCATCCTATGTATTTATTTGGAACATTTATATCCCGTCCTTCTCAACCTCTGAAGAGGGGCTCAGGATGGCTACCAACAGGCACCATTCAATGCCAGCGCAATATAATAACATATAATAATAATAATAATAATAATAATAATAATAATAATAATAATTTTATTCTTATACTCCTCCACCAGTTTCAGCATCTTGTGATAAATAGAAGTGGGTCAGGGGAAATTTTTAATGAATGCACCACTTGCTTCACTGCCAACAGAACACTGAAGATGCCTCTGAATATTTATGTGTGTTGTCAAGATGATTTGTATAATTGTATTGTTGTGAGCTGCTCCGAGTCTCTTTGGGGAAATGGGGTGGAAAACAAATAAAGTATTATTATTATTATTATTATTATTATTATTATTATTATTATTATTATTATGCCAGCCACAGATGCAGGCGAAATGTTAGGAGA